ATCCAAGCGCGGTGTTATTACCTTTGCTTGGCTCTCAGATCGATGCTCGCCTCCTCGTCCGCCTCTAGGGCTCCATCGTCCTCCACCTCGGCCTCCTCTTCCTGAGTGATTGGTTGACGCAGCGCTCTTCGTAGAAGTAGGGGTAGCGTCAATACTCGCGACGGGTAGACTTTGAGGCCTAGTAGTAGCAAACTCTAAGCATTTCTTATTAAAGAAATTTTGAAAGGATTTTTCTAAGTCAATCTCCAAGATGACGTTGTTCTCGTTAATGGAAGCGATGTTCACTTTTGGTCACGCAGTTGCTTTCGTTTTAGGCTTGTATGCCGCTTCTGGTAACAAGCTCTGTTCTGGAGACGGCGGATGCTTCCAATGTTCGTCTGACTCGGCCATTTCCATTTCTTGGGCTCGGTTAAGAAGCTGTGGCAATGACGTAATACTTTGCTGGTCCTTCTTCATTTCTTTCTTCAACTTGGGGATCATGATATCAATAGCCAAATTGATCTGATCTGGAATACTCCACGGTCGCTCAAAGCGGCTAAATATGGTGTTCATCGCAGATAAATAATCCCGAACTGTTTCATCGGGTCCTTGCGTTTTCAAGTGGGCCTCCACTGATGTGTTACGATGATAGCGATGCACCTTACTGTAAGCTGTCAATGCTGCCTCTCGAAACTCCTAGTACGTGTTCCACGTTGGTCTCAAGAATCGGTACCATTGTAGCGCTTGACCTCTGAAAAGTGTAGACAGTGAATCAAGAATCTCGTCTTCCGTGATGCGGTCCAAACAGTAATTTTCTTCTACTCATGCAAGAAATTCCTCAATACTCGTGCTTGTGTCGCCCGAGAAATGTATCTTCCAGTCTCGCACCGTTTGTCCTAAGTTCCTTGTCAGAACTCTAGTACTATCCCAATGGTTTCCACTAGTCCTCCAACTTGGAAGTCCATGGATCAAAGTGGCTTGCTGTTGAGTCGCATTTGTCGATTGCGCTCCTGCCGCATGCGAAAGCAAATATGTTTCTTGTCTGTGATCCCCCCTCTCCCAGCTTGAGCTTGTTTGAGTCCTTGCCGTTGATGATAAGAGTGCTGTTCTTGCGTTCAGCTGTGGTTGTTCTTCGAATGTCGTTAAATCAAAATCTGGGTCGATGAGACTATACGTGTCTCTAAAGATAACATTTTTATCTTGTCTCGTAACTTTCAAATTGCTATTGATATCTGTTATCGTTTTTATTTGATTATTTAGACTGTAAACTGTGTTTTGCAGTTCAGCGTTTTCGCTTTTGAGTCTTGATAAATTTTTCTCTAGCTCGTCGACCTTCTCTTTTAACGTTTTTGTTGCAATTAAAGCTCCTTTCAGCTCTTTTGCCGTTGATTCTGGTATGTATTGTGCCTTCCCTGAGGGTAGCTTACACCAAATCATTTTCTCTGGTATTTGCAACATATGTGGCATAGCATTCGTCTTATTTTCTGTTGTCGACATCACGGGCTTACAAACATTGTCATAGTTTGAGCCATATTTGTTGTCGTTGGAATTGTTACATTCGTCGCAGATTCTCTTATTACTATTCCTGACGTATTCGAAGCTGGTGTTAACGACATGTCTTGTTGTTGTGTATCCTGTTCGTTGTTTGTTTCTTCTGTTTTGTCCAATTTCTTGCTGTATTATTTCTATAAAATCGTCGCGTATCGGTTTTGGGATGACATTTGATTGTATCAATGTCATATATAAATTATCGCGTCTTTCTTTCGCTTGAAGCGACAAATTATCGATTGTCTCAACAAAATCTTGCGCGGTATAATCGCCTTTTAACCGTCTATATAATTTATTAGCACGTTCGTACATTGAGCTATCGTTGTTGAGCTCAAGGTCGTTTAAGACTGAATTTAATGTATCACTAGGTAGTGTTTTAATCCATTCTTTTATTCTAATATTTACTTCTGTTCTAAAAATAGTTAAATTAGTTTGTCCGACATCTTGTTTTTATTTATTATTATTTATATACAGTTTTATATTCTTCTATTTGTTCTTGATAATTTTCTTTTATTTGCTTTCTTCTTTCTAAGATTATTTAATATTTATTATTTTATTTATCTTAATCTATTATTTTTATATTTTAGTTTGGCGTTGTACGACGGTATCAGTGTATAATAATATATAATAAAAGAAAATGTTATTAAATAATAGGGCGCTTCGTAAAATGTATAAATATATAGATAGGTTATATTACAATCGAAATTCATTTATCGGGAATTGATATGCATACACAAATAGTCGTTTTGTGATTTCCGCTTATACGTGAGATGTATATGCGTAAACGCTTGTATTCGCCAGTGTCCAGGCTGTTTCTTATATCACAGTTATAACGAATTTAATTCATTCGTCATGTCTCTTTTCCCACGTATGCATATACATAATTCATATACTTATACTATATTTGGATTCATATTATATTATACAGCAGCCTGCAGCAGCCGACAACGTCGAAGTATAAGGTAAGAGAGAGAGCGCGGCATATCTATTAACGAGCCTATAAGCAGGGAGAGTCGCGTCCGCGTGTATGCGTGTATGCGTGTGGTCGCGCTGCCGAAAAGCGCGATGAAAGAGTGGCGGACGCCTCCCGCAGGAATTGACTGGCGGACGTAACGCGGGCGACACGTACTTGAGCGCGCGTTGAAGATCCGGTCTTTGCTTGGGCAGTTGCCGTGGTTTAGCGATCCTTGACTTTTCTTTTCTTTTTGGCGTATTCGGACTTTCGGTCTGGCGTTGCCTTAAATTATTCGCGAGTGGGTGCAGTGGTGCGGCGTTTTGACAGGACAGTGTGTGTGTGCGAGGACCTAGCGCTAGGTAGTCCTACGCTCCGTTACCACTGCAACCGGCGTCCGGGAACGCCATTCAGCGAGCGAACGCTTATTGTACGGAGGGCCTGGCCATTGTTGCCTCATTGTAAGTACCGACTCGTTTAGCTCTCTCTTACTTGCTTGCCTGCTTCTCTCTCTCTTTGCCGATTTACTACTCTGTACGCTTTCTCTATGACACTTTATATAAATTATTCTTATCCTTCTTATTCTCTGCGTTCTTGGACTTTGCGCCCGACTCTCACTCCCAATCCTTGGCGAATTCTCTGCGCTCGTCACTACTTTTCGCGCTTTTCAGCCACTGCTACCTGCGACGCTCTACGCGGGCCACGAGGCTGCTTGATGTCGTGGCTGGTTAAAAAGGCTTGGCCACACAGGTGCCAGTGCACCAGCCTCGTGGCATTAGCTGTTTATTAAGCCGAGCTGTCAACTAATCCATCCTCTCGATACCTGCTGTAACGGCAGGTTAGCCAAAACCCTGTTATACAGTAAATACACGTGACTTAGCGTCGTTCGCTTAGCTCACGCTATTCCGATAGAGTATGTCTGTACGACATAAACACTCTATGTTTTTTTTTATGCACGCGTGTTCGTATCACAAACAAAAGTGTTTTGCTTGTTTCCTTACTTGTGTTTACATTCACTGGCTTGGTGAGTCTCTTTATTTTTTCTTTGTTTCCGCGAAGGTTATCTTTGCATGAAGTTTCCTGAGAATTCGATATGCACGTTGGGCGCCAAAATATAATTCAGTTTTAGTTGGAGCTCTTTTCGGGCTAAATCAGCTATATAATAAATAATTCTCCCGGATTAATATTTTAATATTAATATTTTAATAAAGTGAAGTCCGCTGTCCAAGGCGACCCTGTGCGCCAGCGCGAACAGTGCCTGGGTCTAGCTGCATCAGCTTGCCTCCTTCCTTACGTAGAAATTCGGCCCGCGGAGAGTGTCGTGAGCTACAGATTACTTGGGGAGAGACAACCTAAAGAGTCTCGCTGCGAAGTGGTTATGCAATAAGGCAGGTGTATCGGAATAAGCCACTGCGGATTTTAGTAAAAATGAATCGTGTATTTAGGCACTCGCGAGTACATGCAAGCGCGCGTATTGACGAAATGTGAGCGGCAGCGAACAAGGCGACAACAAAACGCGATGCGCCGATCTTGTCAGCGACCGAGCAAGATCGGACGACGAATTCGCTTAAAGCGGCTCGAGGCAAGACGCAATGCTGAGCAAAATGACAGAGTGCGTAGGTTGGGCGAAAAGCTAAAGGAACAAATGCAATTCACAAGCAATAGGAGAGAGAGAGAAAGCCAAGGGAGAGAGAAAAGAATCGAGCAGGTACTTACAGTTGTTGTCGTCGGTTGTTAGAACAACAGAAACGCGCGTACGATAGGTCGCGACCACGCTTACTCCTAGCCTACGCTCGCGCGGGCGTTCTCGTTCCTAAGCTTTATAGTTGACGGTATTCCTGTCAGCATTCACTATGAGTCTTCGCTCTTCACTGGCGATCTTCGGGCTTGTATAATCTCTACTGCGTACTCGCTTACTCCTCCGTAATCTCTCGTAACGTAAAAAAGATGCTGTCAGATTAAGCTAGAGTTCGTACCGGTCTCGGCTCGCATGCCAACTGCCCATTGCGCGCTCTCTTTCTCTCTCCCCTTCGCGATCGCGGTCTCTCCGAGACATCCGCGCTAAGGATTATCGATAGTACAGATCGTAGGGCTCGACTCTTATCTTGTTCGCTGACATTTCAACTGCGCTACAAATTAAAAATTATTATAATGCATGGTAAGGTATAAATATGATTAATAAATAGACTGGCCGCAGGGAGAGAGAAACATAACGAGAATGTGACTCGTTATAGTGTGAATGAGATTATCTAATAAAAAAATGAATTTCAATAAATTGCAAAGTAATGTGGAAATCAAACTCAAAGTTTGTCGACTTTTTTTTAAGTCAATATGTAATATTGGCAAATGATCGCAATGAATGGGTGAGAAAAGATGTTTTGAGCAGAATAGATTTCACACAGAAAATCTACAAAATAATACATAAATAATTGCAAGTCTGCTTTCAAATGACAAGTTATACTCCAAAAATATTTAAAAAAAAAATCAAAGTGATAAAACATTTAATAGATAAAAAATATACCTTTCAATTGTACAATAGCTGTACCAGAAATTGCTTCATGAATTAAGGTTTTCCGTTCTGTGAATAATAATCTGAAAGAAAATCAGTAAATATAACGTTATAAAAGGCTTCAGTTAATGAAAATTTAATGTTGTAATTTGAGAAATATATTGAAGGTGAAAAAAGCATTGTATATTATTATGAGATATAAACAAATAATATTTCTAGACGATCACACTACATTTATCACGAGGTTAGAAATTGTATTAACACTGTTAGCATATCATACTAGATGTGACAGAATAGTTGTAGGTTTCCCGTGTAGCCAGTAGTTAATTCTAACTACTGGTTTTTTCTCGCTTTCATATTGATATCGTATTGTAGCTGATCTGTTAATTGAATATTTAGTGACAATTTATAATCAAGTAATGAATTCAGTAATTAATGTTCTGGTTACGCTTCTTAAATAAATATTTAAGAGTGACAGTATATCGTAGAGTGTATTTTAAAGGCGTACAAAAAATTTGTATGTGCTATCTTTCTATTGTTATTAAGAACAAACAAAGAGTAAACTATAAGTAAAAGAATATGAATAAAAAAATGTTTGAAAACTCCATTGAAAATGAATCAGAAAGAGGATGATAGTCTCTAATGGTAGCGTGTTTTGAGGGTGCGAAGCGCGCTGGAATAGGCTACTTTAACAATTATACTATATATGAAAGGTACTATGATCAATAACAAATATGTAATATTTGTATGAAATTAGTTTATCACATTTAATATACATACTGTAACGGGGGAGGTTATCTGAAAAAATGGAAAATTTATTGAAGCTCAAACTCCCACGATGCAGAGCTAACCGCCGCTCCGTTAAACACGTATAGTTGTACGTGTATTCGCCTTTACGTCAGATGATTTCATTTAAGTGTCTTCTTTCCAACGGAGTTAAACTCTTGAACTCACCTTAAGTCACGTGACTTGTGACACTCGATGTATCTTAGGTGTGAGCGACTTTACGCCTAATCCGCTTAATCCCCTAGATGTAATCAGATTAAAACCCAAGCCTTTACAAATCGCTTAAGCTAATGGGAAATTAAATGACATAATCAGCGAATTAAATTAACTAACTTTAATTAGAAAAAAAACTAGTCTTTTATGGACCGAAAGACTAACGCACGTGAACAGAATTTACAATGAATTATTATTCGGTGAGTGAGAGAAAGAGAGAAGATTCAAAATTACCGCGAAACTAACGCTCGGCGCGAATACAAAAAATTCGCTATCACGGTTGACAAAATACCGAATGTATTTTGTCACGTAATAATAACGGGAGGTGCATCTACCCTGCGGTGTAATTATGGTGATCAGCTGTAATTGTTGCTGAGGTAAATCAACTGTCGCTGCTCCTCCACTTAATCTGCTGCGCTGCTTAGCTCTCCTATCGGCTGCAATATGCTGCTGCTGATCTGCTGCTGCTTTTTGCCGTGGTAATACCGTTGCACTCTCGCACTTAAGATTGTCCCAAAAAAACTTGATCATTCGGCGAAACACAGTGCAAAATAAATTTGGCGGTATCGTCACGTAGACATTTGAGGCATAACTGCTTAATTTAAATACTCGCGCGCCCCCTCTCTCTCTTAATTGTTCGAACTAACGCGCGAGTTACAGAATCGCGAATGGATTGATTCCTTGAATCGACTACCGTTGCAATACAAACAACATTGTATTTTTGGGTTAAGTTTTTATATCTGTATAGTCACCATAAAACAACAGTTTTCCAAAACACAATCATTATTTTTAAATTGATTTAACATTGATTGTAAATATATATAAATTTATTTATCAATTATATTAACTGTTAATAATAAATAGTTCTAACAATAATAATATTATCATTAATAAATAACATTAACCTAGAGAATAAATTGAATATTACTTCCATCAAAATGTCTACCTTTACTTTTAATTACTGCTCGTGATATTTTAGGTATCCTGTTTGTTTAGCGTATTTTTTGAGATTTTATTCCATTCTTCTTACAATTTAGCCTATAGATATGTCCACGACGTAAGGCATACCTTTGTACATCACGATCAAGCTCTTCCTATAACAATTCATTGAGATTTAAATCCGGAGATTAGGGAGGCCGAACCATATATTTAAGTTTTCTCTTTCTTTAAGATTCTTTAGATAATTCTTACGTGTGTTTTGAATCATTGTCTTGTTGGAATATAAATTTAGAGCCAATTATTCTAGTGACTTTGAACAATATTTTGATAATCTTCTTTCTTTAAAATTTCATATATTTTTAGAAGGTCGCCAACATGGGAAACCTCGAACATCCACAAACCATTAGTTATCCACCATGTTTAGATGTAGACACAATACTATTTTCCGAAAATTTTTCATTCACTCTTCGACGCATATAAATTTTCCGTTTATTTCCAAATATTTTAAATTTAAATAATTTATTCCATAGAACTTTCTAATCCAATCAGCTGTAGTTCAATGTTTATGTTTTCTGGTCCAAAATAAACGTTTTTTTCTGTTAACTTTTCAAAGTAAAGGTTTCTTCACAGCAACTCGACCAAAAAGACCACATTATCCAAGTTTTCTGTTGATAGTTGTTCCACTTATTTTCATTGTTAAATTAGTTTGAACTTGTGATTTGAATCCAGCAAAAGTTAACGATATCACGTAAATGAACTTGTGCTATATAATTATTATGTTACTTTGTTGTTACTTTTGTTGTTCCTTCCACATGTCTATTTTTAGTGTTACCATGTTTAAGTAATTTACATACATTTTAATCCACACTATGTCTGGGAATTTTCAGATCATGTGCAATTAGGCTATTGCTTTTACCACTTTCATGCACGGCCTCAATTGTTATACGCTGCTTCGAAGATAAGTTTTTCTTCTCAATCAAAGATCACTTCCAAGCTTGATTTGATTCCAATATTCCTTATGAAAAAGAAAATTTAACACTGAAATTTAATATTTACCGAAATTCATAAAATTTGTTTGTGCTTGATTGCACTATCATTTTTTCGGCGAATCAGATGTGTATACTATCAGTTCATAAATTCTTGATATTGTGATGGGAAAATAGATTATATCTTACTTCTTGATTGAATAAAGTATTTGAATAATTTTGGTAACCAGTTTCAGAATAAATTATGTATGTCAACATCAGATAACAAAAATTAAAAAAAGTCTTTCGAAAAAATTCTGTTATATTCTACTTGGATTGACAAATTTTTGTTTCATTTAAATATTTTTCTATCTCTCGAATTTACCAAGATATTTCAAATTTAAAAGATTATATTTGATAAATTCGAATATATTCGCGTTATATTTGATGGATTCGAATTTAAAATGAGCGTTTTATATAACGCTTGGAAAAAGCTAAAAAAATGATGTATCTCAAATTTTGTTACAATTTGTTGCAGGATATGGGCCGGAATCAAAGATGAGAAAAAGTTTTGAAATTTTAAATCTGAATTATCGTTCGAAAAAGTTAGAGCAAGGCATTTATTGCATTTCATGAATACGTCAGTTGAAAGCTCTTTGTAAGAGCATGCAAATGCATTGCCGTATATCTACATATAAAACTTCTATGTTTTGAACAATTTCGTTTTGGGTAGGCAAAAGCAATGGGCCGGCACTACAACGCTTGCAACGATGGGGCTTGTCAGTTAATGGAATATGATAAGTTAGTTAGTGAACAGACGGTAGAGCCTGGCGAAGTAGCAAAAGTTAAAGTAAATAAGAAATATTTGGACTTTCGACAGGAAAATAAACCTGAATCTATTAGTTATATTCAGGTTAAAATACACTCGTTAGAAGTACGCTTTGATGAGCTGTAACGAAACTTTATCGTTATCAATTTTTAGAGGTAGATAAGTGAGGGGCACTCGCTCATAGCAATCGAGGAGGGGGGGGGGAGGGAAAGGTAAGATAAAGAAATGTAATTAACCAAAAATCACACTTCAAATACTGTTAAATGAACATACCGTATAATTATAAATTCTACAAAGTTTACAAAAATCTTGAACTCTAACGAACACAACGGTGTTATAAACACGCCTTAACTGTACTGAACACAACGGTTTTTTTAACACATACTACAATAAAAGAACGAAGAACAAATTAACTAATTTACCGCACTTACAAAATCTAACCGACATACAGAACGTGTCGCCCGGCAGGTGACCGCCTTGAGGACAAACCGACTTAGCCTACTTAAACTAAGAAAAAAAGACCGCCCGGCGAGGAATCACCTTGACGGTACGCTACCTTAACAAATAATAATGCCGACCTTAATTAAGACAGGTAACCGGCGTGTTCACGTCTTGCTACTTACCTGATTCTTACACCTACTCGCTGTGCCATTCCGCTAAAGATAGAGAGAGAGAGAAAGAAAGAATGAAGAGAACGAGTCTGGACCTTATCTATGCGGGAACGGGAGGCATGGCTGCGCCCTGCCGATGATGTTGCTGGCCGTCGCTGGATAACTTCTTCGCCGGCTTCTTCCGGGTAGCGTCCCTGGCAAGATACTGGTGGAATGGCACTTGTCCTTTTTCTCTTTGCCTGGTTTCTCGTTTCAGCTCCTCGGGACGCTTATGTATTCGGCTGACCTTTACTTCTGCACTCTGCACTCTGTACCGCTGACCGACTTAGAACCATCTGACCTCTCGCTCGCTTCCGCAATCGACAGCTTCTTCGCTCGCTCTTTCTCTCCTCACACTTGACCTACTTATTAGGTGGCGTGAGACCAAAGCACTAATTTGTTATGCGTCGCGCGCCTGCCTAATCCTACGTGGGGCACGCACGCCCCTCTCTCTCTCTTTCTCTAACAAGGGAAGGCAGGGAGGTGTCCGTCACCGATTTTCTTCAAGTTTCGCATACGATTAGAGTATCGAAAAATATTGGACACGTATTTTTTTGTAGCGGCACATACGGTAATTTAGGTGGTAAAAATAGGGTTGCCAATTATAATTATCTACATACGCTTGAAGTGCATAAGTTGGCGAGACGCTAAATTCAAATTATCATATTTTGGTGAAAGAAAAAGATATCTGAACGATTTAA